GATCCTTTAGTGTTTTGGTAGTAGCAATAGTAAATTCTTTTTATTGAAATCAATCATTACTGCCTCCATTTCACCAAACTAGTAACCACTGAAAGGCATGCATCTAGATTCACAAGTTTAAGTTTATAGTAAAGATAGTGGATTCATAATTTTCTGACTTATACGAAGTTGACCTTATACTAAACTAGGTGCACGAGTATAGAACTTAAAGCAACAGTTCAAATTTACGCTTATGGAGTGTAGCATAACACGGATGTTTTGCGCATATCTATTTTGCTCAGTACAAAAATGTGCCTTTATCTTTTTAGACATCCCTGTAAGAGAAATACCTAAGCTTAAGTGATATTCTAAAATCATCCAGCTTTTTAGGTACTGTGTAATGCAACTTGTGGGCCCTGACTTAGGAAAACTGAGGAGAAGCCTCATCGACAAAAGGTTTACTTTTTGCACGAATAATTGAAATCAACAATTTTTTTATGCTCTCCTTGTCAGATTTTCGCTACCAACAGCACTGCGAGTTCTTCAGCAAACCTTGCGGAGATTAGAGGTGTTACACGATGCAGGATGGCTTTGCCGGTAAGGATAAAGAGCGTGTGTTAGCCAATACTTAGTCCAAACGCAGCAGTTACAGGGATGTGAAAGCTCCAAACTTTGCAATAGGTCTAGGGACTGAGAGCGGTGTGATTTACATGCTTGATTTCGGGTTCGCTAGGAGATATAAGTAAGTCCAGTCGCAGTCAAGTCTATCAGGGCTTGGAGAGTCTACTTTTTCTACTTTTTTTAGAGAAGCGAATGGAGAAATTATACCTCCACGTGAAGCAGCTGCCCTATTAGGAACGTTTCAGGTGGAAGATAATATTACAAAATACAAGAATTTCATGATATTAATTTATAGTACACTCCTCTCGCTAGCCATTATCACAAAGATCAAGCGCCTAAGGACGACTTGGAAAGTTGGTTCTACATGGCGGCCGAACTGCTGAAGGGTTAGTTTGGAAATAACGAACAAAAATGCAGTCCCTTCACAGTTGCTCGATTCAGGCCCTCTACCATGGTGTAAAATAGACGGCCACAAGGAGCATCAGTTGATTGCTGAACAGAAAAAGCTTATCCGAAAGGAGCGAAGAGCAGAGTTTATTGAGGGGATGCCCCGCGAGTTCGACGTTATCCTTTCAATGATTGACAATATGAAGTAATTTTGCTTTTTTCGCTTTGCGGATGGGTTATGAGCCAAGCAAGTGATGAGTTTTTCAGATTTTTCGAGCGGCCGCCTTACGACGTTCTCCAATCGTTAATAGACCAAGCAGCAGAGAAACTTGGGATCACTCTGCATGAACCATTTGATTGGCAGGTAAATTTCCTTGCAATTTTGGCTAAAATCCAAAAAACGCTGACGTTTCTAGACCAATGCTCGTGTGCTGAGAAAGGCAGAATTTGTTGGTGAACTTGGAGAGTCCAATTTGGCATCGTTAAAAATGGAAGAGGAAGAAGGAGAAGAAGAAAGTGAATCTTCAGACGTCACAGCCTCAACATTGGAACTTAAAACTTAATTAAATTATTGTTTTTAATGCACTTTACAATTTCTAGGCATGTATTCAATACAAGTGAGCAGTCAGTATAGCGAGGATATATCAAGATCCTGCTACATAGAAACAATAAAACTTTGATTAAACATAGGATACCAGTAATTCTTAATCAAAGTGACAATGCACAAACATATCTTACTTTATAAAATGAATCGCAGTAGGAAGGCGGAAGTAGGGAACTACAAATATGAAAGAAACTACTTTTAAATTTGTCATATAATACGAGTTGGTTGTAGACAGTACTGCATACTACGTCCTATCGCACAGAGCAATTTAGACTATTAAAATTTTGTTCGCTTAGTTTGCCCACTTTGCCTTGTATTTTTAGAGGCGACAATATTATATCAATTATAGTAGCAATCTCAACTTACTAGTAGAAATATGTCCTAGTAGCAATGAAAGGGCACCAATGCAAAAAATTTCATTACTTTTATCGTAATTTTTGAGGGATTATTGGTAGCCCTTAGTGCACAGAGGCAACAAAATCTCAATCCAATGCCTCTTTTTGCACTCATCACTACCGGAAGACCATTAGCATCGTGTAAGACTGCTTGTTCGTTAATTAGCCAAGTCTAAATTTTTCCATAATCATTATGAGCATCCAAAATAGCCTGGCTTTGTACTAGATTTACATTAGATCTCTCATTAACTTATCCGAAAAATAGTAGTTAAATACAATAAAAATTTTTGGAAGCGTAGTATTCATAATATAAAGCGAAATTACGACTGTTAATTATTGCTGTTCAATATATTTCAGTAATTTATGATCTCAACTCCATCTCCTCTGACAATGAAAACTCCTTTTGACTTCGTAATTTTGGGAGTAAGTGGAGGAGTGCGGAAAGGGGGAAGGAAAAAAACTTCGGCTTTTCGGAACACTACATCAGAGAATTAATAACAGTGATGAAAAACATGTTTCCAAATATCGCCCTGAAAAAATCTGGTCAACAATGTCCCTTTTCACCATTAAGGACATTTTCTAAGAACGCATGTTTTCACTAATGTAAAAAACAAACATTTTCACGCCCTCGCCCATGCATTTACATGGCCCTCAGCTGAAAAAAGGGATGTAGAAGTGGAAAGGAGCTTAATATGTATGAGAGCTTCAAGCAAATTCAATGGAATGAACACGCTACTCTCAAATTAAAGAAATCAATCCGTTTATCTTCACTCCCTGCTGTACTCTGCTCATATCATAAGCGGAGTATGTAATGTGTGCTTAGGGCACTCACAGCTCTCTACCTCGAAGTTTGCGTTCCCAGCGATTCACGCTTCGCTGCCCATTATGTGTTGGCGGGTCAAAGTCAACTCTGAGAGTCTTCAAATAAAAGCAGTGGTGCTTCTTTTCATTTCTAAATTCAGCGCCCTTGTTCGGACACTAACCAACTCCCGCCCCTCCGTAAAGGACAAGTTGTATGCTCTATTTTGCATCTTACTATTAGCGGTAAAAAAGTTTCAAAAGTACACTTCGCCGAGTCTCAAAGCAAGGCCTTGCACGCAAAAGTGGATCGCTTGATTCTTTCACAATTCATCGAGCATTTGCCGTTTCGCTTTCTCGCGGCCATATTTTCTTCAACATTTGTACAAACCCTCGGTAGCCATGTTTTGCTTTGCGCCTTCTTTGCCAGTTAGCAATTGTCTGCAGTTCATATAACTTGTTTTGGGACAACGCCTGCTCATATAAGCATATCCTCGCGGACCACTTCCTTTGCCAAAA